GCATTCGATCAAATACCTTGGTTTCATCTTAGATAAGAACGGTCGCCGATCAGATCCTGCCAACATCGAAATCATTCAGAAGATGCCTTCATCAACTGATGTTCCCTCATTATGATCCTTCTTTGGGTTGATCAGTCACTACAGCACATTCCTATCTGAAACTCATCGAGTGAGAGGTCCCCTAAGTGGATTATTACCAAAAGATAAACCTTAGCGGTGGTCGCCCCCCAGATGCCCTGGTATGGCCGAGAGGGGTGGGCCTGCCCTCCCTCTCGAAATGCTCTCACACGGCCACGCGTATACAGCCTCTGCCAGGGAAGTCCTACTCACCGCCTTCTCGCACCACGGGTGTTGTTTACGAAAAATGAATGTCTGGCGCTTTAACCGGACCCCAAACCAGTGGTGCACATGGGCTCCAGTATCCTGAGGGAACAAATGGCGTATGAACCAATCGTTGGTCACTGGCTACCATGGGACTGCATCTGCTCACGATGTTCCACTGCCTTGTGGGTCAGACCTTTAGGTCAAAGGCTCGGGGTGTGGCCCCCTGAGAAAACCACCTGCTTCGGTGTGGGAACCCGGGCAATATCACAGCCCACACACACAAATAAAATGAAGATGACGATATTTACTGAAAATCCTATTCACGCTTCGATTAGCGGTCAAACAATTCACATTATTATTATTATTATTATTATTATTATTATTATTATTATTATTATTATTATTATTGACCACGTCACTTATTCACTCTCTTATTCCCACTTTGTATATCCTTAATTTTCGACTTATACAGCAGCTCGGTTATGGTTGAAACTCGGTTCTATCTAAACGTTCTCGAGTTACTGCCTGGTTGAAAATTGTATGTTACCACTGAATATGAGTACTGAAGCAGTTTTTGCCTTCAACGTTCGCACACTTATGCAGGTCCGACAACAGATAGGGCTGGCTATGTCCTTGGAAAGTCTTAATATCGATGTTTTGTTGTCTATTCGAGACCCGTATTCAATACTCTGGTGAAGTACTACAAATTCGCTCACCATCTGTCGCTTCGAAAAGCTTGTTTTATGTGCGTTTATTCGGGGACCCTGTGGCATCTTCGTCTGGTCTTGCTGGCGTTGGTGTCGCACTAAGCGCTAGAGCTGAGGCAGCACTAATCGATTGGATCCCCATTAACAGTCGGTTATGTGCTGTTAGATTAGAGAGTTCCATCAAAGTGAGAAGAAATCGGCGTGAGAAACGATGTCTTTTCGTCATCTCCGCCTATGCCCCGACAGATTGCAGCCCGGATGCAATCAAGGATGAGTTTTACCACCAGTTATCTGTTCTTCTCCAGAAAGTGCGTTCGACAAATATTGTAGTACTAGCCGGAGACTTGAATCCTTAGATCAGGCGTCTAGGCACAGAAGAGAATCGTTTAGGTGGCCGACGGGGGCTTGCTGATCACAGGACAGATAACGGGGACCGTCTACTGCAACTGTGCACAAACCACAACCTGTTTCTGGCTAGCACTAACTTCCGGCGCAGTCATCGCCGATGTGCCACCTGGCGTCCTCTTTCTGCATCTCAAGCTTGAACTCAGATTGGTCACATCACAATCAGCTACCGCTGACGTGGTTGTGTACAAGACTGCCGCTCCTTTTGGAGTACCTATCTGGACTCTGATCATGCCTTGGTCTGCGCCAATCTTACCTTACTTTTCAGTGGACAACGAAGTGACCGCCACCAAAGGATTGATGTCAGTAAGTTGGTTGCAAGTAAGTATCGAACCGAGCTAGCTTCTAGGCTAGCTACCATCCCACCGAAAAGTATAGATGAGCATTGGTTGCAACTTCATGACGCCATCAAAATGGCGAGTAAAGCCGCTTGTGGCTTCGCAAAACGTCTCGCTTATCAGCACTGGTTTTTTTCTGGTTCCTTACAATTCATTAAAGCCCGTCGGTCTATTCCGGGTGACCGTGAGTTTGACCACAAACGAAGGATGTTACGTAATGAAATTGGGCAAAGCTTGTGTAAGAACCGAGAAGCCTGGTGGTCGGAGCGTGCTAATGAGATGGAAGCAGCAGCTGCATCTGGTAACTACCGGAAGCTCTTCCAACTCATCCGAGCCACTGGCAGCAAGAAGTCTGGTGTGAGCGAGACAATCTGTGAGGATGATGAGATGCCGACCACTAACATCCATCGACGTCTTGGACGATCGGCAGAATTTTTCGAAGGGCAGTTCAACTGGCCTGCTGCTCCGGCAACATCGTTCAGACTGTCCTGCCCTCCATGGCCGGTGACGACTGATCCACCAAACGAGCCGGAAGTACGCAAGGAACTCCAACTCTTGAAGCGCTACAAATCACCTGGCCCAGATGACTTACCTCCGGCTCTTTTTAAAGATGGTGGTGACTTTCTGACTAAGCAACTGACCGCGTTGTTTACAAAGGTTTGGGAACTAAAGAGTGTACCAACGTCATGGAATGAGTCGATAGTTGTTCCTATCTTTAAAAAGGGTTCACGTCGTTCCCGTAACAACTATCGGGGGATAAGTCTACTTCCGATTGCGTCCAAGCTATTGGCTTCTGTCATTCTTCGTAGGTTGTTCAAAACCCGAGAAAGATTGACTCGCGAGGAGCAGGCTGGGTTTCGTTCTGGTCGAGGATGTATTGATCATATCTTCACCCTCCGCCAAATGTTAGAACACCGCCATACTTATCAAAGGCCAACAATCGTAGTGTTTCTTGACATCAGGGCTGCCTTCGATTCGTTGGACAGGGCTGTCCTCTGGGATTGTCTATTGAAGAAGGGTGTGCCTGAAAAGTTTATTAACATCCTAAAAGCCCTATATACAAACACCTCAGGCAGAGTGAGGGCATACAACCATCTCTCCATTGTTCCATTGAAGCAGTGGGGTTAGGCAGGGTTGCCCAATCTCACCATTCCTCTTCAACTTTGCCATCGATGACATTCTGGAAACAGCTCTGATGAATGTAAGTAATGGTGGTGTGGATCTGTTGCCTGGAGAAAGACTTCTCGACCTCGAGTATGCGGATGATATTGTCTTAGTGTGCGATAACGCCCAAGCCATGCAATCCGCACTTAATCAGTCGGCAATTAATGTCCGTAGGTACAGTATGTGATTTGCACCTTCCAAGTGCAAAGTACTTCTACAAGACTGGCAGGATTCTAATCTTGTACTTACCCTGAATGATGAGCAGATAGAAGTAGTCGAGAAGTCCGTGTATCTGGGTAGCTGCATAAGTGCCGGTGATGGCGTGAGTGATGAGATCAATGCACATATGGTGAAAGCCATAGCGGCTTATGCCAATCTGGGCCATCTTTGGCGCCTTCGTGATGTTGGTCTAGCTGTCGAAGGTCGGATCTACAACGCGTCGGTGAGAGCAGTTCTGCTTTGTGATTGTGAAACCTGACCTCTCCGAGTTGAGGATGTTAGACGACTCTCTGTGTTTGGTCATCGTTGTGTCCGAAGGATTGCTGACATCCAGTGGCAACACCATGTTAGTAATGCAGAGGCTCGGCATCGTGTGTTCGGCAATTGGTGTCACCATCTTGAGACACCGACTTCGGTGGCTTGGACATGTCCTACTAATGTCGTCCCAGAGAATTCCACGTCGTGCATTATTTGCCAACTCTGGGACTGGTTGGAAGAAGCGGAGAGGTGGTCAGTGCATGATATGGTGTCGTTGTATGAAAGAAAGCTGCAAAGGACTGGCTTGTGTTGGACCTTCACGACTCCCTGGTTGGGGTCTGAGAGATGGTGCTACACAGTGGCTAGAGACGTTATCAGATATGGCTCAGAATAGAAGCCAGTGGCGATCCTGCTGTAACCTTATTTTACTTTCTTCATAAAAAGTGACCGTAGCCTCTAACTGAAAGGATTCTTTCTGGTTGTACCTTTCTGTTTCCCCATTATTATTATCATTATTTCACTACCATACACTAATTTGTGTTCGTTATTGTCCTTTTTTTATTTTCACACGCACCTTACACGCTTTATCTCTTCCCTTTCTCATTATTATTGTGTGACGCATATGTATCTGGTGCCCCTTTGTACTAATACTTATGTGTTCAAATAAATAAACTTTTGACATTCTGCTAAACACCTTTGAAATCAAAACGCCTGGAACAAAGAGGCCAGTTACTTGGTTGTAGTTGGACCCTAGCAACAGATCCTACGAATTTGCTCAAAGGGGAGGTGTCAGTGGGACAGATTTGATTAAAGCATGTTCCATGCACGATGATTGACTAGTTCTTGTCCAATCAGTGCTGGCTAGTACTTGGAGAAGACTCTAGAATCTTCTCATGTAAAAATGTTAAATATACTAACATTTTTCTTATTGGGCTTCTTACTTTCATCTACCCTTGTTATTAGGAGTATAATTTTGTTCCTGTTCAACCGTGTTCTGATTTGGGGACTTGTCGAGTGAAATGGTGTCCAACAATACTAAGCAATGGGAACAGCTGGGTTGTAATGAGAGAGAATCACAACACATATCGATCTTTGGAATTACCTGTCTAATAAAAAACAGTACAGGGTGTCATTGACTCTTCATAAAATTAATTTTTATTTGTTTACTGTGTAATTTTCTGAAGTTGGATGTCGACATATTCGAGCGTGTTTAGAAACTGGCTGATCTCAATGCTCTTGGCAGTCACCCTTAAGAATATGAGACTTAGTAGCCAGCTACCGTTTGTATTTTTGCACGTGGACGATATTTCCTTTTGCTGCTCAACTCTTTCCCCGCTCTGTTATTTATCTTATGCTATAGGAGTGGTTATTGAGTATGTAAGTATTGAGTTTTAGGTATCTTTACCCGCATGTAATTGTTTTGTGTATGGTTTGACAGCAGTATTATCAGAATTTACGGAATTTGTCACACGTATAATCCATAACTATGTATTGCATGGATCTGTTACACTACATGTGTTTCGGATAATTTGTTTATAACGCTTTTATCTATCAAGCATTCAATCAACGTCTCTTGTTGTTGTAGTTTCTTGGTATTTCCATCGACGTATGAGTGCGGGTGATCGCCAACTGACTGGGTTTTTCAACCCTGAGTTTTATGGACTTCGGAGTGACTTTCGTCTAACTAAATTTTCATTCCTGAGAGGATGAGGTTGTAAAGTGCCTCAAGCTGAACTGAAGAAATTGCTTGAGGCACTAAATCAACCACAACCGTGTTCACTTTCAAGTAATAAACCGTTACTGGGTAGGTTTTGTCTAGTATCCTTTTCATTAACATATTTCTATTGACATTAAAGCATTAGAACTCGATTGTTGTGTTATTCCTATTCGAAATAACTTAAAACTTATCCAAACAACCGACTTCTTTTATCCTCTGATTGATGATCCTTACACTATGGTTAGTTAAATGTCATTTTTACGCTAAGAAGACAGGGTCGAATTACGTGCTGTAATGTACTAAGTGATTTGTATGCAATGGGCGTAGTTGACTGTGATAATTTGCTTCTATTGTTGGGTGTTCCACGTGAAATGACCCAAGAAGAACGAGAAATATCAAATCGCTTATTGATGGAGGGTTTTAAGGTAGGTTACGTTGTTTTACATATTGCAAAACATTTTCTGCTCTTTGAAGGACTGTGCATTGGAAGCTGGAACATATGTTCGTGGAGGACAAACTGTATTGAGTCCATGGTTAATGATTGGTGGTGTAGCAACTTCAGTTTGCAGTGATTCAGAGTATATTATGTAAGTTCCTCAATTATCCAGTTGTTTACATCAGTTAAAAACTACAGGCGAATTTCTTCTATAGTAGTTAATTCCTGATGTACAATTAAATCAGTGGATTTGTTTTGCATGTGTGCCTAAATATTCAGGATTTTATGGAAAGAAACATCAGAATATTGATATTTTCTTGTGACTTAAAAATGTTTCACTTACAACTTATACATGGTTTATCTCCAGTACTCATAAAATCGATAATACACATTCACTAAGTCATTCAAGTACAATGCACTTTGGTACATTTCATATCGATTAATATTTTAGGCTAAATGAATAAAGGGATTCATATCTAATGGTTTGTTTTTAGCTTGACAATGGCAAACAATCCATGCAATTTTTCCACGTTGGTTTTTTATTGTAGACTTTCTATGCATCGACTGACTATAATTCTAATGTAGTTATATGCGTTATACATTGTGTATATACAAGTAAGTGTTTAAAATTAGATGGAAATAACTCAACCACTAAGTACCAATTACTTTTATGCTGTTTTATTTGTTTTCGTGACAATTTTCTATCGACCAAATTCGCGACGTCATCTTATAGTAATTGACTTGGCATTTATCTAAATACTAAGCAATGTTGGTTCAATACATCCATCAAGCAAACTGTTAGAAGAAATGAACATAGATTAATGTATTAGAAAAGGATCAGTCTGATATAGTATTGGCATATATTCACACATAAACCAGGTATCAAACTTCTCGACTAATCGTAGATTTGTTTCAGTAACTAAAGTATGCTCAAATAAGCCCAGACAACGAAATATCGTCTACTGCATGAATCTATTTGATTGATACAAACGTATCCAACATTATCATATTCAGTATACGTAGAATTATAATTATGTAGACAACTTTACCTCATTCCTAATTGTCATCCACTCTTTGTAGATTACTTCCTGATGATCTTTGGTTTTCCTTTGCTGTTGGTTTTTATTTTCACTTTTTTCTCCTACCATCTTTTTTCGTACCACTGTGAATTATTACTACACAAATGGTTTACTATTTGTTGTATGTTTGACTTCACTCGGCTTAATAGTGCATTACTCTTCATTTAATTTTTAATGTTTTGTCAGTATTTGGTCTTCTACTTTAATCAAATTTTAACAGGCCGGATCAAGCTGCAGTGGGTGACGTCTTAGTACTCACAAAACCTTTGGGCACCCAAGTAGCTGTTTCAGTTTACTACTGGATGCTGGAGGATAGTCCATCTTGGTCTGGAAATCTAGCCAATATCATCACGTCAGATAAAGTAAAGAGTCTGTTTCATTCTGCTACTCTCTCCATGACTCATTTAAACCGAACAGGTTTGTGCGCTTCACCTAGTAAATATTGATTCTCAGATGTTAATTGATATGCTGTCGTACTAACATTTTCATAAATACATATCACTGTTCATCCTATACTTGTTGCAATAAAGTTAATCAATCAATATACAAAACAATTTCGACTAAGTTAGGTTTATAACCAAATTGCATTTCTTTATGCTCAAACACTAGACACTCAATATGAATAAGGATTATTGGTTTTTGAATACGATAAACTCTCTCTATGTTAGTGAGACACATTTATCATCAATAAAAAAGCATTTGCTTTCTATCGATTTCCTCAAATTTGCAGATTCCTTCTTGAAGCGTTCGTATTATTTAACTAAACCTGCATAAGTGACAAAGTTGTCAGATTCTCATTTTGTGAGCTTCACCTCTCAAGCTCTACGTTATTCGGTGAGAAATCTGACGACCTTATTTTACACCGACAACATCACTGATCAACTCCTTCCCAAAAAAAATATTGGTAACAACACATCAGTCATAGAGTGTGCTTCAGTTCAAAATGATATAACTTTCATCAGTACAGCGAGTCTAAGATCAAAAGTTTAAGTTGGGAATTAATATCGAAAGCAATTAAATTCTAAACATAAGAACTGTAGTCCAAAAGGAACAAATGATCTACTCATTTACGTTCGGGTCTAAGACTAATTAAGGCCTCGTATAATTACTGACTCCACTACTTTAGGCAGTTATAGTTTAACTGGTTAAGTGTCAGTTAAATACGTGTTTTGCTCTACAATCCCACGATTCATCCGAATAATTTTATTTCTGAGAGGAATCTAAGCATTTATTGATGACGTCATAAAACCACTTTAACTAACTTCTTATATGTTTCGTATAATTTTAAGTTTAAGATATTCAAGGCGATCAAAGCGCTTGGGTTAGTAAGTTTTGTTCGTAACCGAGCGAGTGTATGCCCTTTCTTAATGATTTTTACTAAATGATTGATTTGGCATTTCCTCTTTTCTTTCTCATACAGTTAAGAGCAGTTTCTCAACCACATTCTAATTGTAAATCACACTAGCTACTATCCAGCTGACGAGAAACTGCATTACCTTTCAGCTTACGCTTTTTAACTATCTTTTTCCGAATGCACTAAAGGAATACTTTGGGACAAAAATAATTACTAGTCATGTTCATGTGATGAAAGCACCGCATAAAAGCTATTAGAATTGAGTGCTTTCTTTTATTATAATTCTTTGAGCTTGTTACTATCAGTACCGTAATTGTTGTTATGATGGTTATTTGTAGGTTAATTTTTCTCACTGCATTGTTGGAGAGCGGTTAGAATTTGAATTGACATATTTCCTCCTATTTTATATCTACTACTATGCATCAACGGTCTCTTTCTGCTAATTCTAAGAAGCTACATATTTTGCCGACGAGAACACTTTTTATTTGTCATATACATATAGAAAATTAGGATGTAATGATGTGTTCTTAAAGAGCTTATATTTTAATTGTTTATTGTAGCTGCTCGACTAATGCATAAACATCACGCCCACGGGTGTACTGACGTAACAGGTTTCGGTCTTTTGGGTCATGCAAATAATTTAGTCCAAGTTCAGGCAAACAATCACTTAGCCTTCAGCATTCATACTTTGCCGTGTCTTGAAGGAAGCTCGTTGATTTCCAGGGCATTAAACGATCGGTTAAAACTACTTCAAGGTTTTTCTCCAGAAACATCAGGTACTGTTTATTTTTGCTTTGTTGTTTATATCTGTGTTGAACTTGTATGCCTTACCATAATGTATTTGTGGCATTAAGTTTGATATACTTATGGATAAACTTGATTATTCCTTCTATTGTAAATAATATTAGTTTTTCACCAAAACCTAGGTGGTCTGTTGATTGTTCTTCCCCGAGAATCTGCCCAATCTTTTTGTGAAGAGCTAACTGCTGAAATTGGATGTCCATCATGGATAATTGGAGATGTAATAGAAGCCGATTCAAAAAGCGCTTTCCTTGTTCCACAACCAGAAGTCATAGATGTTCAACATTCACAAATCATCCCACCAAAATGTTCGACTAATAGCCAGTAATTTTCCTTCCACATTTTCAAAAACTGAATCAATCACTTTTCGACCATATGATGCTGATGATCGAAAATGTTGCATGATCATTCAGCTGATGATGTCTTAAAGTGATTTGATTTAATCCATTTCCGAATATTCATATGCTTTTAATCAAGTATTCAATTATTTTGTAGTAGATTCAAGAAATGGTCACGTTCTATCTTCAGGCTTTTTGTAATGCAATATTGGAACTTTCGCAATAAAATTCTTGGAAACTCAGTCTCCAACTTTTGTGTGTTTACTTGGACTCCATCTACCTATAAGGCATTTTACACAACCAAAACTTAGCGGTTACCACTTTGCAATATCACTGTGACAGTATTTACACATATGAAACTGATTGTGTAGATTTCCAAATACAAACCTTTGGCTAAACGTTAGGCAATAATGTGTATTTTATCAAACCATAACCTTAAGAAGTCTACTGCAGTATATCACGAGCACTTAGTTGCTGTGAGTAATTCTGTTGGTTTTCCACTAAATATTTAAATCTCTTGAACTGATTTGTTTTCAGATTTACTTATCGACTTCGGTATTAGCTAGTAGTTGTATCTTGCAACTGAGATATACCACATTAACCCTAAGCTGTAAAAGAAGTTTCAATATTTTTCGACATTTAGAATTGATAGATCATTTCTATAGAACAAATTCATCGCTAAAAATTACCATCCCCTTGGTTTTATACAGTTTATATGAGCTTTGCTATATTTTATGAAATTCGGGTGTAGATTTCACAGTATAGTTTCATATTCTGAATATTAGTGCCAGTCTAAACCACATATTCCCTAGCTATTCAACTGTATCAAGATAGAAGAGCTTGGATTTCAGTTCAAGTGAATTCGGATTGTAAATATTCAATAACTTCGCAACATGTCAGTCAGTCAGCTACAACGTAGGACCAGTCATATATATGCATCGGTCCAAGTTGCCATAACGCATTAGCACAGCAAGATGAATACCTGATTTATAGAAGTAATTAATTCAATAATGGTAATATGTAGAAGAAAGATTGCATATAAAGACATAGTACAAGAAGAAAGAATTAGTACGTAGAAAGATATTAAGCGATTTTAATCTCATGGTTTAAGGGAAAACAGGAGAGTATACACCTACGCCATTGTGGTCGACTCTGAGCCATGTCACGAAGTCTCCAACCATTGGTTACGATAGTCACGCGGACCCCAACTAAGTAATCTGCATGTAGAGCGGGATTACATGCTGTTTGGATTTTACATACTCTATGTAGTCCTTAACAAAATAAGCGGCTTCAGACAGATCAAATATTAACGCAAAGTCAGATGGATCACGTGTGAGAAATAAAAATGTGAACATGTTATTGTAACTAAATTATTGATCCGACTGTCACGCCCTGCATATCACTGTCTGCGTCAGTAAATTAAGATATATACTCATGAGTTATGTACACTTTTGTTTGGCTTTTGGCATAATACTTATTCTTAGTTTTCTTACTGTTGTGCAACTACTCGGGTCAAACATTACTGAGCTTGTGAATTTGTGACTGCATTAAACCGAATATCATACCAGTTTTGTCGAATTACTTGTGTTAGCGGGGATATAAACTGGATTAAAGCACGTTCCGCACAGGATTACGTTGGGGCACACTCACTGGCTATTTCTTGTCCAATCAGTGCTAACGGACACTTGGAAAAGACTCTAAAATCCTCTCATGTAAAAACTATAAATATAATAACGTTTCTCGTCATGATTCCTACTTCCATTCAGTCTTTTCATTTAGAATATATACGTTTCTCTTCAACTGTGTTCTGATTTGGGGACTTGTCGAGTAAAGTAATGTCCAATATTATTAAGCAATAGCAGTAGCTGCGTCGTAATAAGAGGATAGTATTACAACTCGAAATTATATTTTCATTTCAAATTTAGCTAACAATGGTGATTATGATTGGAGTAGTATGGAAACCTTGTTTCTATTCAGATTGTGACTAGTAACTTTATATCATCTGCGCCTGATTCCTAACGATATTTAAAGCATATTGTTAAGTGGTTTATCCAGTTCTTCCTCGCTCTCATAAATTCTCGAGTAAGGTATTAATAAAATTCGTGTAAACAGTTTTGAAATCCCGTTGGTTTTCTGCACCGTTCTTTCTACGAACTGATTCTTTCTTCCTGTATTATATCCTTATTGCAATCTTTCTTTTATATATTACCACCTCTGAATTAACTACTTTTATGAATCCGGTGTCCATCTTGTCGTGTTAATGAGGTATGGCAACTTGGACCGATGCATATATGTGCCTGGTCCTACATTGTAGCTGACTGATTGCACCGTTCAACAGACAATATATTGACCAACTTCCGCTACTGGTTATAATGAATTAATACACATATTTTAACTAGCTAAAATTTGTTCACTTATCTAGGTTATTACTGAATACTGTTATCGATTACCGATGAATTGAAGAACAAATACGGGACAGAGTATAAAATAAATGTTTTTTTATATTTTATCTGCTTAAATAAGTCAATTTTAAAATATTACAATGATTTGACAACTTAATAGTATAATTTCTTTTATAATCAATTTTATATTAGCGTTGGCTTAATCATGCATCAATTATTCGTTATAAAAAAATCCGCAATGCGGAAAACTCATCAGTTTACTTTTCGAGAGGAAGACTTATTAAACAATAGATAAAATTAAGCTTAATAAATACGTTAGAAAAGTTACTTTTCTGTACCATTATTGCAAGAAACAGGACTACTTCTTGTAACATGGAATGTTTTAGAAAATAAATTGACTTCCTAAGAGAGACGGTTATTCAAAGCGACTGAGTTGGCGTTCTCCGTGTTGTATTTGAGGCTGCTGCTACACTAGTTGTCTTCATCTGCATTTGTTCGTGTGTATGGCATACAAGGGTCAGATCATTTGTGAAGTCCAAATCTTTTGATTAAAATAAAAGACCTACAGGCGGAGTTAGACGTATTCTCGTTATATTTCATATTTCAGGTTTCGGACTATACTTTGTACTAACTTTACTATGACGAAATTAAATACAAGATACGTGAATAGTTAACCGGAATCAGATGTAAGGCACTAATTATGAGCAGTAATTGTCAAATCACGCTCCGCACAAGACTAATAAGAAAAGACTAGATAGATTATTCTCGACAATTACGCTCATTACATACAATCTCTCTTCAAGCAACTCGATATAAATTACATACCTAAAATAAAACAATGTCATTTGTTTACCTTCATTTTTGGTCAATGTGAATCAGACAATTTTGCTTGTGAACACTGGTTTCCTATTACACTCTACAACATTTGTCGAACAAAAAGCTATGACGTCGCAAGTACAATTAGCGAGAGGCTGAACACTGCACTAGCCGGGACTTACCCGGCTGCCAAACTATTAATTCTGTATAAAACATGCTCAATAACTCAATGAAAGGTTGAAAAGTACTCCTTTCGTGTTACCGCCAACTGTACTTATAAATTTACATGTGCCTGCCAAAGCAACCACATTGGCCGAACAGAAAAGATATCTTAGATTTTTTGAGTACATTCCAAAAAGCCTCAGAAAGAGAAGAAAGACTCTAAACAGTGCAATCACTAAAGATCTCTTAGATACAGGACATCAGGTCGATACCCTGCAATCTGTCTATGTGATTAGTAGGCAGACGAACTTGTCTTTTGAAGTTTGCTGAAGCCGTTGCTATCAGGTGTCAACAACCTGACTTATGTGTTCAAAAGTGGATAATTACTAATCTTTCATTGCCTTGGTGACAAATATTCCTTCGTTGCATCTTAAACTCTTTTCTTTAACCTTTTCTTACATTGAGTTTTCATTTCAACTATCTTCCAGATTAGTAATCTTATTTTATCAACAGTGCTTTACTCATTTTATTCCTATCACTGTTTGCTCATTATGTAATCACTTGTTTCTGGTCGTTTGAACTGTTGTCACAATGTTGCAGAATTTTCTTTTACATAAGGTACATATTTGCAATATTTAGTCTAGTAAATTTATTTACACCCTTGCTGTACTATCATGTCTTTAACGTAGCTTCCGACTAAGGACTTTCATGAACTTATGCTCTTCTGCTAGAATCGTTGTTCTTGCTCTTTTCCAAAAGATAAAAAGAACTGTGTGAAAAAAACTACGTATTTACAACATAAACCTGAAATGTCTATCTAGTCGCAGAAATAAGTGAACTTTGTCGGAATTTGATTCGCAATTACTGATCAGTATGGGATTCAGTTCTATATTACAAAGATGACCATTAGATATCCAATAGGTCTGTTCTTCAATCATACAGTTGTCAATTTCCTTCACTCTACCCCAATTTTTTATAAACCTCTTAATAAATTAGACTATCACATGTGGATAATCGCTAGTCAAAGATGTAAAACGACAAATGTTGAACAGCCAAATACGTCTACATGATTGCAGGATGTGTGTTTAAACCTTAAGAAGAAAAATGAAATCGAAGCTTAATTGGGAGGAACTGGGTAGTGATTCAAAAACTAAAATTCTGTTTTAAAAGTCATTTTTATGACTATCTATTAGATTCATATACGTTTTCTCCGTCAAGGATAAGTAACAGAAACATTCAAAATGACAAATTATACTATCTAGAAACAAGCTGATTATCAGAATATATCTTTTGAAGTTAACCAGGTTGCTTTCAAAATCAGTTAAATGGATTTCAAAAGCCATTTAAAGCTTCGACTGTAATTCACGTAATAATATGCCGTTTGGTTCAGCTATAATGCATGCTTCTGGCGTTTAGTCAACTCATTTATGCAGAAGTAGAAGACATTACGATCTGACTGCTTTGTAAATCATATTTCGTTGGTGCCATCAAGCTGAGAAATAAATGAAGTACCTTCGCAGAGAGACAAAGTGGTTATAAACAACAGATTTCCGAGTTTATTATTTTAGATATCACCAAATAGAAAACGGCTTACTCTGTTAATTAGATTAGATGATAGGATGGAATCAAAATTTGTAAACAACCCAATCACACTGATAATATATTTCTCTACACTACTAGTAATTTTAATAAGTAGTACGATTACTAACGTAAAATATTATGTAGGTAATTGAGGATAATACATACCACGTAAATTATCCAAGTCGATCTTGTATACATGTAGTTCTCAAAATTAGAGAAGTGCTAACAATGTAAAGATGACTCTATGATGAAATTTTCCCCACTAATAAGTTATTCATAAGCTGACTTTTTTAGACACGGTACACATTCTCAAACTTGATGTGAGAAAACACTACTAAGTACTGACAGTTACTTTATGAATAAAAATCCGAGGCGTTTGATTTCTTAAGTACATGAAATTTTTGGACCGATTAGCAAATTTAGAAACTAGAGGGTGTTTCTGGTTATTCTACTTGCTCTATTTGAGCTCATTTAAACAAGATCAACCTATAAACCACTGACAACTCTTATCATCACGTTTAAAAATCTTGATATGATTGTATCAATCCATCTTCTTATTAATTCTTAAACTTTTATTTGTACTAATCACGATAAAAATTAGTTGCAAACAAAATAATGTGATTATTAAGATAGTGGAAAATTTATAGCATACAAAGAAGTATGACCACATTAGTAATGCAAAAAGTAAATGTCGCAATCAAGATTATTGGGAATACTACACACTAAATAACGTTATCTGTGAACAAACACTACGAAATTATCTAGCATTTACGCCGAACTGATGAATATAACATCGAAACGTTTGACATTTATAAAGATGAGCATAGGGACAAACATAAAGAAATAGCCCGGTTTTAGTAAAACAGCCTTGAGAACACACCTCAAATTTCATATACTAAAACCAATAAAAATCGACACGAAAACTACTGACATTTGTCTAGGTTTTAGAATGCAGTTTCCCATTAGCAGGGAACAAAGGATTACTTGAGAAGATTCATATCTGTGTTTGGACGAGATCAATGGTTCCACAACAGTCTGTTTTATTTCATTTGTATTGGTTGTTTGAATGTGAGTCCTGGATTCCACTGCCAGCCACTAACCATCTCTGCTTATAAGCACGTTTTAATTGTTGAACTCGTAAGAAATTTAATTTTTCGGAGATCAATATTTTCATATTATTATTTACAACTGCTAACACGGATTTAATTCTAATTAAGAATATGAGAACTCATAATAAGGTATAGAAATCTCTAGATGTTGTGAACTTGGAGGGCAAAGTAAGGTAAGGCAATTACAGCCAACCTTATTGTCATTTCGAGATAATGAGACATATTGTGTGTCTCCGTATAAAAAATGCGATGTTACTAGACACTTCAAGTGCATCCATCATCAATAAATGGTTAAACCAGCTTTGTCTAGAGTCCGGAACCAAGAATAAAGACCAGTGGCGGGCAACATCAACACGTTTAAGATATAGAGGAATGCCAAACTACTCACCAGTTAGCCCTCAACGACTTCCACACATCTGGGAAGTATAATGAAACTAAATGTTTTAGACATGATTAGTAATTGGCTTATACCCTGACAATTATCACGTGCGTTACACATGTCCTTGGTGACGATGAGTGAGATAATTTTAATCTAGAATCGTTAAGCACTTGTACTTCACCATTGAATTCTGAACGGTCCAGTAAGTTGTTCAGTCAGAATATCTCTGTCATCCATGAGAGAAACCGAGATTTATTAATCTCCATCAAGAAATGTGTAACTTTTGAGTAGATGAAGTTCTTTGTAAATCACAAATATGTTACTCAACTAGTTACGTTTCAGGGATAGCAAACTTCGGTCGGAGTTACTTAAGCAATTGGCAAATTAAAGCATCCTTTTTAGTTGCTCCAAATAAGAGAAATGTGCCCAGTGTTTTACCAAGTATCCCCCAGAATCAATTATCAGTCGCCAAGAAGTTGATTGTTTATAAGTAAATTTTGCACAATCATAAGCAAATTTGTTCGCTACTGACACGTCTTGTAAATCAAATCAGTCGCCCATTTATTTATTTAAACACAAAAATATTGGTAAAAGAAAGTACCAAATATATATACACCATACTTCGTCATTCGATTTGTGTGAGGCTGAGATACAGCCCGGGCGCCCAAACCTAAGCAGGTGGTTTTCTTAGGAGGACACTTCTCAAGCCTTTGGCTTAGAGGTTTAATTCTCAAGGTAGTAAATCAACGTTAGGAAATGCAGTCTTATTACCTCTACCACTACGGGATTTGAATCGACCACTGCATCTCTGTGCTAGTGTGGTGTGGCAACTCGAACTGATGTACGTACGTACGAAGTTCTACGTTGTTACTGACTGACTGACTGCAGTCTCATGGTAGCCAATGGCTAACAACAGGTTCATATGCCTTTTGTTCATTCAGGATACTGGAGCCCACGTACACTATAGGTTCGGAATCAGGGTTTTTTAACTCCCCCAGATGAACCCTCGGTATCCACCAAACAGTCGCCCATATACATACTAGTGATTTAAAAATTATTCTTGAATCTAAAATAGTTTGATGTTTGATAAAAATGTGAGTTTATATTTCAATCACCTGTTGGTAACTACGGTGATTTTCCAAGTCATAAACCCACGAGTTAACTGATTGTAATAAGTCCAGGTTTGAATTGCACAGGTAGAAATCCTCGTATCTTATAGGCGATGATTGTGTACTGATTATTATTATGTACGCCAAGCTGTAGCAGACGGTTCTTACTATCCTATTTGCAAGTAATATGTTACTATGGGCTTTTTAAATGAACTTTTTGTGTTTAGATGCCTGGTCTATAAATTTAAATCCTTGGCTAGTTGTCAGAATAACTGTCGAGTCCTAAATGTTGAGACCCTTACATACAGTTCGGAATCTTTTGGAGTTGTTGTGTAGTGGGTCAAGATAAATATTGTAGGTTAACTGTTCTACTAATAACTGTGAACAGGTATATTTTACTGGAAAATGAAAGCTACTCACACATAGGAAAGTGACGGGACACACTACAATACGTTATCATTCACCACTAAAGATTTTAAAAGTCATCACCGAATGGAACTAATTGCCATAATAAAGTTTCCACTTGACTATCAGGTGACTTGCAACTTATTTGGCAGATAAAAATCATACTTGGGCGTGCTGTGTAAATGCAAGGTGGTATGGATTAATTTTTATTTTCAAGTAGTTTCTTTGAATTAGACCATTCACTAACAGCTAAGTACAAGTCACCATAAAATCGAAGGGCATGATTTTCAAACGACCGATGATCCTTCCTATGCCACCCATCCACGGAAGCCAACTTATTGATCAGGTTACGGTTCATTTTTCTAATTCGTCTCCAATAATAGTAGGAATTTTTATCAACCTCTTCAAGAGGGGGAGAACCTCTATCTGTCCGTAATTTCCAGAGCCAATCCGGATACTCACTACGGGGGTTAATTATAAAAAATCCATACTTATCTGGCTTCAGTGGAATAGGTTGTTCACCTATTCTATAATTAATACAGCAGCAGTTTACAATTTTCTCTGGATCTGTCTCCACATTAATTTCACGTATTTTAGCGACGGCGGCAATTCCTTTGGCTAAAAAAATGAAACAAGTCAATTGAGAACTAACTTGTTTTCCCTTTTTTTGCATATTTCCGGGTGAATGTACACAGAACATTATGGTAAAATTTGAATGTTGACATACAGTGATCTTTAAAAAACCAAAAAACCAACAGAAATTTGATATGCATAGTAAAACAATGATAATGATTAACAAAATGACTTCATAAAGAACTATTTCTAGGTGTCCGTACGTTTTCAACCCGTGATGTAATTATGTTTTGGAATATTTTTAGAACTGATAGAAGTAATTCAGAGAAACTCGAAGTAAAAATAAATGCTCTGTTTAACTTAGTTCAGATTTTTACGAGTGTTCGCACAAAGTACATCACGCTAAATCAAAACATCAAACCGTATTCCCTGTAAAGGAAACACCCACTTCAATATAATTTACTATTTGAATTTCGCTTATCACTTCTCATAAATTGAAAAATTCTGCAAGTACCAAAGCAATCGTTAATTTAAAGGAACATAATGTTCTGAAACCTATCGCGACTAGATTCTAGCAGATGATTAGCGTACTTTTAGTGTTAAATATGTGTATTCCCTATCTTAAGCTATTAAAAATGACGCTACATTAGTGTCAGGAGGGAACAAGTACGTAATTCCGTAATCTAGTTATATTTAGTAGTTGAAATAGTTAATCCATTGATACCACAAATTGTATACATACACTAAATTGCTGATGAATTAGTGCCAACCACTGTTCGACACATTTGAGTTTCACCTAATCAAAGCTCGTGAAGAGTAGATTAGAGAAAACCAGGCCGGTTTTCGACCTGGACGTAGTTGTATAGATCAGATATTCGCACTACGTCAGGTTCTAGAACACAGACACACATTCAGACGCCCCACAATGGTAGTATTCCTCGAATCTTAAGGCAGCATTCGACTCTGTTGATCGTGAGGTTCTATAGCAGTGTTTGTCACTGAAAGAAGTACCAAAGAAGTACATTAACCTTATACAGGCTCTCTACTCGAACACAACTGGTCGAGTGAGAGCTTATGGCGAACAGTCATCAGAATTGATTACCTCAAGTGGTGTTCGTCAGGGCTGTCCACTCTCCCCATTCTTGTTCAACTTTGTCATTGACGTACTTTTAGAGATAACACTCTCCTCATCTAAATTTACAGGGGTTGGACTTCTACCGGGAAGTTCACTTGTTGACTTAGAATATGCCGAAGACATAGTTTTATTTGGCGAAGACGCTGACAAAATGCAGTCTTCTGACTACTCTAAGCAACAATGCAGGCATGTTCAGGATGCGATTCTCCCCGTCGAAATGCAAAATACTGCTTCAGGATTGGGTTGTATCGGCACCTGAACTAATGATAGAGAGTGAAGTAGTTGAGCGTGTCGACCGCTTCACTTATCTTGGAAGTCTCATCTGCCCTTGTGGTCTGGTGTGCGACGAAATCTCTGCACGGATACAGAAGGGTCGACTAGCTTTTGCCAACTTGCGTCATTTATGGCGTAGGCGAGATATCCCTCTATCAAGCAAAGGACGTTTTTACTGCGCAGCAGTTTGTTCCGCCCTACTTTATCGCAGTGAAACATGGCCGGTAAGAGTAGAGGATATTCGTAGGTTACTAGTATTCGATCATAGGTGTCTTCGAATCATTGCTCGTATATCCTGGGACCATCGAGTAAGTAATGCAGTTGTTAGGAAACGGGTACTAGGTAAGGATGGCAAATCAATTGATGAAGTAGTGAAACTTCATCAGTTGAGATGGCTGGGACACGTGTTACGTATGCCCAACGACCGACTACCTCGACGGGCAACGTTCAGTGGTATAGGAGTAGGTTGGAAGAAAGATAGAGGCGGCCAGACCAAAACATGGCACAAGTCCATGAAGTCACTGACAAGTGGACTGAGTCATGTTGGTAGGTGTAGACTACCTGGTTGGGGACCACGAGATGATAGCAACCGATGGTTAGAGACCCTGATTGACATGGCTCAAAATCGTTTGCAATGGCGCAGGTGCATCCACTCTTTGTGTTCTCCTAGATTCTAATCTTCTGAATTCTTCATGTCCCTTTTTTCCTCTTTCCAAATTTATTTCACTGGATTATACTCTTTAAATAACATCTCCAAACCCTAATCTTCCCTATTACTGCTTATACTCTTGCTACCTCTACCACTACGGGATTTGAATCGACAACTGCATCTCTGTGCTAAGGTGGTGTGGCAACTCGAACTGATGGACATACGTACGAAGTTCTACGTTGTTACTGACTGACTGACTGACTGAGACAACTGAATGACAACGTGACGTGTTTTTAATGATGCGGTTCATAATAGGTCTAGAGCTAGAATAGATCAATCGTTTGTGCAGTCTTACTTTCTTATATTGATCTGTATCATTCTTTGTTCAGTCGTAACAAGCAGTGAAAGACAGTTGTCTTCCAGTTAAAACAAGCAGCCAACGCAGTAACACGTCCCAGTCACAACAGTTAGTGATAACGGTCTCTAGAGTAGCGGTAGCCCAGTAGTCAAATTATCAAACTCTCAGTTGTTGTTACTAGTTTTGATCGTGCTCCAATCACAAGTTGGGATATTGAATACTTCCATTAGCTTTTAAACAGAGAACATGGACAAATGACTGATTAGTGTGCAGTAACACCTCAATATGTATTAAGAGATCTCGATGCTTTTTCATCCATACGCTGAAATGATGGTCCTGATAAGTGGAATAGGGAGGCTCGTTACCATTTTAGATATTTAAAATCATTTCGAACGCAATAGGAATTTATAACGTATGTCCGCTTAGAGAATTACAATCATTTAATAATTCAAGAAGACGAAATGTCATAATGTAGACTTAACCGGTTTTTAAGTATCAGATAAAGAGTTCCTGTCTGAAAAGTCACACATATAAAGTTTTTGGCAGATTAAGAAACGTAATTTATTCTAGAGCACTAATAAAGCCTTTTGATTAGTGCAAAGGTGGAAATGAACAAAACAATCTAGACTTAATGACTGCTATACCGATTTATAAAGGACAAAGATCCAGGAGGTTAAAACATGTGACAATCTGGGAAAGATTGGCCGATATATGGAAGAGGAGTCCAAATGCAAAGTACGTTTTAAATCTTACTAACAAACGATCGAGTTGCGACGTCTGGTTTACATATAAACCATAAATGTGGCTGACTGCAAATGTTTTCGACTATTCACCTATTTCGATTTAAATGTGTATTTTTTTGTGCCATGAAAACACTAAATGAACGTCTTAGGAATGTGTTAGAGACAACCTCGAGCTTCTAACCTTAGTGCAACGTTTGGGTCGAACCGAAGGCTAGAGGTGCTCAATATCCAACACCTTTGTGAAATGCTAAAATTAACTAGTTGATCTATTATAGGAACAAAAACGGTTTTAAAATAATGGAAGTATAAAAAGTATTCATTTTGCGTCATTGATTGAGGCGAATTTGACAGATTTATGCAGTTTGGTATGTTCTTGGTGTATCTGACGTTCAAATGGTTCAAATGGTTGAGGACGGAATAGAAGAAGCTTTCGCTTAACAGGCTTCCGTGCATAGTAGCAGGGAGTCACCAAATCCTCCAGGCAGGAACCTAGGTATGTTAACAATAAAAGAGGAAAAAGAAATCGGTAAATCATAGTATGATGCTGTCCTTGGTCCTTAAGAATAGGTCAAGTTGCATCTTGAGGGACTCCTTGGAAGTCACTTGGACTAGCTCGGCCGGCAGCAATTTCCAGCATTTGATAACTCTTAAGGAATAGAAGTTACGTCTTCATTCCGTTTTGCTATGTTGTGTCTCCAGTTTCTGGGTGTTACCCCTTAGGTTAGTTTTCGAACTAAGCTTAAGTAGGTGTTTAAGAGGATGTCCAGAAGTGTTAAGGATGCAATAAGCCATCAGAAGATCACCTCTAAGACGCCTATACTCTAATGGGTAAAGTTCTAGTGAATGGAGGCGCTCTTCGTAAGGTTTAAATTTGAGTCCCCGAACTGATTTCGTGGCTTGCCGTTGGATGCGTTCCAAAGTGTCCTTATCCTTTTGGAGTGAGAGGTGAAGGACTATTTCCGTGCTATAAGTGGGGACGGATGAAACTATTGAAGATTATATGGAAAGTTCTTCCGTCGAACTGTCCAAAAATGAGCTTCAACGTTACCAGTGCAAGGTTTGCTCGGAAGGCATTTTTGTCACAGTTAGCGTAAGACTTCAAATCATAGGGTACCAGGACTCCTAAACCTTTTTCTACTTGGGATACTACTAGAGAGGAGTTTCCCAAGTTACAACTGTAGTCTGTGACATGTCGCACATGGACCACTTTACACTTTGAAGTGTTAAAAGTAAGTCCATTATTATCTGCCAAACTTTGGATTCGAGTCAGATCCTCCTGAAGTGCCTGTATATCGTCTTGATTGCGTATCTCTCTCCAAAGTTTAACATCATCGGCAAGGAGTAATAATTCTGACCTAGCCTGTTGAGGAAGATCATTTATGTAGATCAAGAAGAGAAGAGGCCCTAGTACTGAGCCCTGGAAGACCCCACTAGGACATTCCATAGCCTGAGATAAAGTGAAATTAACCATAACATTAAAGTGTCGATTTTTCAGGTATAAAGTAAGCCAATCGATTGGAGGTGGTCTGATACGCAATCGTTTGAGCTTATTGATAAGACATAAATGGTTAACCTTATCAAAAGCTTTTGAGAAATCTAGGTAGATGATATCAACCTTCCCCTTGTGATCGAGGATGCTTGTCCATCTATCCACCGCAGTCAGCAGGTTGGTTATGCAAGAGTAGCCCTTCCTGAAACCATGCTGTTGAGGTGAGAAGAAATTTAAGGACAGTAGATAGTTGTATACACCATCACATATCAGGGACTCCATGAGCTTTGAAGGTAATGACAGAAGAGCCACTAGCCGATAACTTGAAGGTTCGCTGCGTCGACCTCCTTTGAAAATTGGTGTGATGTGAGCCAACTTCCAATTTTCCGGTAGTTTACCTTGGCTTAGCGAGTGTGAGAACATCACGCTAAGCGGCACTGCCAGGATTGAGGCTGCTTCCCTCAGTATGTCAGAATGAACCATATTCGGGCGAGGAGAAGTGTCTAGTCTTAAGTGCTGCAATTTACGGAACACCAAGTCAGCGCTTAGGTTCACTTCGGAAAGTTCTGTGGAATTGCAAACGAAACTGTCATCAGTAAAGTGAATGTCGATCGGTTGAAATGTCTGGGAGTAGTGCTCAACCAGAAGGTTAGCGGCGTCGCCATCGTTGTTGGTTGGGCCGTTAAGACCCAGCAGTTGGGAAACTCCAGTTTTGGCTTGACGAAGAGAGGCTGCATAACGTAATAAGCTTTTAGAATTAGAGGCAAATTTGTCCATAAGCTTTTTCTGGTACTGAAGCCTGTCTACTCTTATAGCCTTCGTGCAAATGTTCCTTATATATTTATATTGCCTGTACGCTCCGTCGTTGTCAGTTCGTTTGTATTCTGCCCAACAGTGCCTTTGGCGGCTTAGCAGGAGAAAGGTACGGTTCTTGATTATTGTAGGTGGCTTGCAGCTTTTGGGAACTGTTTGAGGAACTGAGTGGTTTGTAGCACATAAGAGTGTGTACAGTAAAAAGTCCCAATGACCGTCCATATCGAGTTGAGGGTGAACATCCCAATCCACCTGTTGTAGATGGTCGTGTAGAGCTGGCACATTCAACCGTTTAAAATTCCAACGCAAGTTATTGGTGGGATAGCTTAGTTTAGTTTTGCCGACGTATTTGACATATTTTACTTAAGGCAGTAGTATTATTGGAACCAGCAGCATTCATACAATTTTCTGGTCGGTTTATTGGAGCTATACAGTGGCTAAACGTTCGTGTCAGAATAGTGAATATTAGGAAGTAGGTAATCCTTTAATGTGTTCATGGATACAAAGTTTCCTCTTGAAAGAATCCCTAGGATGGACTGTGAATAAACCAGCTGGGACATGATTCCAGGAAGAAAAGATTTGCAGTACAAACAGCGTGATATCACACTTGAGTAACTGCCCTTTGATAATTTACCTCACAGTGGTTACATAGAGATTTGGAATGATGAATTTCAAGTAGATCTACTGTATTAAGCTGACACAGACTTTAAACACTTTCTAAAGTTTAAAGATTACTTTGCCCTTTAACTTCTGGTTCTTGCATTCATTATCAGTTGCTCTAGTAGTTTTTCCTCCTGATTTGTTGCATGAGATTCTTATTCTCTTCAAGAAGATGAGGTTTAAGTAACCTAAGTTTGTGCACACCACATCATTTAACTGGACTCTTGTTTGGTATGCTTCTAATTTTGTTTGCCCAATGTAAAAATGACTGCGAGCTAGATTATTTCGAGGAAACCCTGAACTCACCTGATTTATTTTCGCCTTCGTCTAATTATTTAGCTCCAACAAACAGCATATTAGCACAGTTAGGATGATTGAATTGCATCGAAACATTTCGGCATTCTTAGTTTTGGAAGTACAACCATAGTAAGAAACTCACCATTTGAGAAACTTTGGCGCTGAAAGTTTCTAGATGCCTTAACTGAGATCACAATGTTTAGTTGGCTTCCAAATTATTAGGAGATAGTATAAGTTTAGTAGTAGACCTATATTTTCTTTCGACAGAGGACATGTAACAGCAGAAGTTGGTCGACTAAGAAACCGCCGTCAACCTCCATTTTAAAAAAAATTATTAAAGCTAAAGTATATACATACTTCCTTACTTTATGCAGACATTATATTTCTTACCATGGTATTTTGAATGTTGGAGGCTTTTACGTGTTTAAATTAGGACCTGGCACAATGACTGTTCTGTTTCAAATATATTAGTAGTGGTATGATCATAAGCTGCGTTGAGTTCGTTCATGAAAAGTATGGAGTGCGAAAGTCTTTTCTTCAGCGTATATTGATGAGCAAGGATCGCAGTTGGGCTAAGCAATTTAATGGCACGATATTTGACTTCATGTAGATAGTATGAACAATTGTCGTCAAAATATGCATCCCGGCCAGCCTCGTATATGACCATCGTCTTAACCGTTGCTAGTGAATAAAAGAATTAAAATAGGTTAAATAACAGAATGAATCTCGAATATGTATATTTCACACAATCGTTGATATGGGCGGATAATCAAGGAAACGAAGCGAAAAGAATAGAGAGAAGCGGAGCGAAATGACATGCAGTGGAGGAGGCAAGTGAGTCAACTCGATTTAAACAAGCGTGAATAAATACTTAGGATCAAAATGAAATAATCCACAAGTATTTGATGAATAGGGTAAGTAATTAACACACATGAGACCACATAAAAACAGTGAAATTTAATGAGCGTATAAGCAACAGGGTCAAAATGTGGCTCGAAAAGAATGAATAAATTTGTTTGTCCAGAAAATAGAATATTTTATGTGTGCTGGACATGGTACCAGCCACCAAAACGCCTCTCTGTAGAAGATAGTTCATTATGCGGAAAAATGTCTGTTTTCGAAAATATCTCTTAAGATTCAGGTGATTAACGTTGACAATAATTAGCGAAGAAATTTGCACTTCACTCGGTAGAGTACATGTAGCGTGGGTGGTGAGTATTATACGAAAGTGCCATAGTTAAGTAGACATAACAAATGAATAATGTAGAGACGCGAACAATAATGAAATGTCAGCATGCGATTATGAGCAAAATACCAAGCGTATAAAAATTAACATGCATTAATTTCGTGGCTGTATGGATGATAAAGTAACATGATCGCACGATAAACTTCAAATGCCATGAAAAATAAGTAATAAACCGTTTGTCGCTCGTGGATATGACAGCGGGATAAATAAAGAAAATAAGTAAGGTAGAATATGATTGCAATTAATATGTGGTGTCGACAGAATGTAAAAATAAAGAATGGAGGAATGTGAACATGTTCTAATGATCAGCAGTGGAGTGAGTTATGATGACTATCAACTAATAAATTCGGATATGAGGTTTGTGTTAGATAGAAACAAAGCAGCCATAAAATGACAATTGCATCAATGTGTGATAATCTTTGTTGTACTGCAATAAGTGATAACCACAAAACGCGGAGTCAATGTGCATTGTCGTTCCCATCATCACGGGATGCATCAAGTTATCATTAAGTATGTGCTGGTAGAATGATCAGAGGAACAGAATAGTGGCTGCGGAGGCGAACTACGCGGAGTCGGGTTTCTTCTTGGTCGTGAGGCCTAGCGTGTTTTATGGCATTTGAAGGGTACGTATTCGACTCCGTTTGTTACGAAGCCGTACTAAGGTATTATAAAAATACCAAAATATAAGGTTGTTCATAACAGGCAATTAGAAC